AGAACATGCACCACAGGACCCGATCGTCTATTCTTGTTGCCAGAACCCATAGAGATTGAAAATGAGAGAAGAAACACAATGTACCAGTTGTGAAGAGAAAGGACGACTGGGAACAAGCCGTTTGAGACCTGAAAACATACACCGGGAAGAAATGGAGGAAGAATGAGTGGAGATGACAGAAGCTCGAAAGAGTGAACTTTGAGGTAATAACGATAAAAAGGGACAACACAGCAACTACCAGACGATGAGTTGGGAACTGCAAACTAGAGGTTAGGAATGAGTGATTGATAAGGTAAATTTTCTTATGTGGAATACGGTCAGGCAGAGTTGAAGAACCGTCCCAAACATGACTGCCGTATTTGAGGGTGAGACGAATGTGTGTTTTGTACAGTAGCAGGTGGATTGGAGTGAATAACCATCTGGCACGGAATAAGAAAACAATCTTGAACGCAGTGCGTAGGGCAAGTGAAGGAATGTAGGGAGACCACAAAAGTGAGGAGTTAAAAACATACCTGAGAGAAATCGGAAACTTTTGGAACTGAGAGGGATGGAAGCCAAATAAATCCGGGGGCTGTATGTTGACATTTAGGAGAAATGAACATGAGAGAATTCACGGAAGCACTGAAAACAATACTGATGTTGGAAACCCAGGTGGAGATAGATGCTAGATCGGAAGTGAGAGCATTACAGTCAGGATTGATGTAGGTGGCAGTGGAGTAGGTGAAGGGATAAGAAGACAGTGTGTAGTGGCATTATCAAGGAGTGCATGCACCAGGTTACAAAACAAGAAAAATAGATTACTGATGAAAAGAAAGAATAAGGTAGATGAAATCAAAGCATCCTGAGAGACACTGAAACTTAGGCAGCAAGCGAGAGCCGCCCTAGCTGGGGAGGAAACAGTGGAGTTGCTGAGAAAGCTTGATGTCTATGGTACAAATGCTAGAAGAACCCATCAGTTCTTGATGCTAGACACAATCAACTAATTTCTGGCAAACGAGACTATGCGCAGTTCTCTGTAGTGGTTAAATGAAGCTGACAACTGGCGATACTAGGGTTAGCACATCCCTTGTGGAACAACGTGGTCGAAAGCCGTCCTGGCGATCACTCAGGAGTCCCTTCACGTTCGAGATGTGAACAAGGTTGACCAACAGTGATGAGTTCCGTAACTTCCGAGATGATAGGAGTGAAGGAAATGGGGCAATCTGTTTTGATCGGAAATTTCACCACGTTTAGGACTCGGGAAATGAACGGGGTTGAGGTGAAAGACAAACTAGACGGCGGATAAGAGAGGCCAATAGCTAAATGCGGACCAATGGTGAAATAGCCTGTCCGATTCGGAAAAGATCAACGCGCATTACGTGACAACAGCTATTTGTCCTAATCACCGTTTTTAACCCAAATGAGATGAATGTGCCTGTATTGTCCCAGGGAATAGGTAAGATTATGCTCGAAATTTGACTTTTGTTCTTTCAGAAGAATGGGAAAGGTTTCATGTGGAGACTTAGGAGAGACTTCGCGGTTATCGGGCGATTGGTCAATCAAATAGTCTTAGTCTTAGTCTAAGAAGTTTGCAGGGATCCATTTTGTTCCGAATAAAAATGATACACAGAGAAGTGAGGGGAAGTCAATAATGTTCAACTGCATCAGCCTCGGAGTTGACATTCCAATCGATTTCACAGTCATGGTCATGATACCAGTGAAAAGAAACAAAATCAAAGAAATTGTCCACAATTGGCACAAATGAGCAAACCAATCTGCAATAAATTCATGTTGTACTGTACTGATGGCTTAGCAACAATCGGGTTCAACCATCAGCATTGATGAGTACATTTATTGTTCTACCCGTATCATGCTCCAGACTTCCTCCTTCTAAGATTATCACGCGCGCACCTGTTTCATTGTCTATTGAAACAATTTTTCCGCCTTTTGGCACAGTGTGAAGGCAAACGATTAGTCGCTGGATGACTGGTCTGTACTTGATTGCGTGATAGAAAATTACCAACTACCACTTAAAATGTAACACCCACTGGCAGCCAACGTGATCAAACACTGGATAATGAGTGAACCGGCAAATGTGTGCGATCTATCACCCGATCGAACACGCAACTGTGGGAGTGGGTCCGTAGGACGAAGAATGACTGGATACTCCGTTACGGCAATCTTTAACGCTCTTGGTTTCATTATCGGCTCACATTGGTTCTGAGCTGATTGATTTGTACACCTGAGGCTGAAGCATAAACTTGATGGCGTTGGGATGATACTTCGCGAACATGTAATGTAACAAAGATATCTGTTTTTTCTTTCGGTACTTCCCATAATTCCAATATAGCACACGACAGGACATAGAATATAGTGCGATAATCCACGAGTGTTTGTACAGTTCTTGTAATGGTTGGTATTGGGCAGTGTGTCCGGATAGGCCAGTTACAGATGAGCCAAACTGTTTTAAGGCCAGTCACACTGGCCTTAAGCCAAGGCAGAAGGAAGGTTTGGATAATTTGTCTTTGGGACCACCACGTTAGTGGATTTTGCATGATCGCGATTGCTTCGACTGTGAGCAGGATTCTGTGCCACACTCTTTTTGATCTATTATAAGCTATTCGGTAGATCACCTTGAGTGTCTCTCTTTCGTGTAAGTTCGTGACCTGTGGTGACTGTCCGAGCTAGAATGACGCTAGTCGCATATTTACTGATCCCTTTTGATAAATACACTGGACAGCGTTCTTGAAACCTCTTCAACAGCTGCCCGGTCGTCCATTCCTACGTATTCCGCTCTACAGAAGCACGATCTTAGAACAAACGCATGAGTTTTATTCATCCGTGACTGTTTCATCCGAAAACAGTCCCCCAACATCAACCATCACAATGACTGTAGAAACACATCCTACGGAGTACTATGTGTTGTGTTTACATGTTCGATTGTGTATTGTATTGAAGAAGTACCGAACAAACAGACGTCTCTGCTACTTTAAGACTTCTCTGACAGAACAATGAAGATATTTTGCGATCTTAAATTGCCCAAGCCTTTTAAGAATTGTATAAGCCGAACAAAGAGACAGGAGGACTTACTCTTTCCAAAGTTGCGTCCGAATCATTTTGATCAAAGTACGAGGCTCCGGTTCTTGAATCACACTGATCAGTAGGTCGTCTAGTTCAAGCGGGAAATGGAACAGCCGCTGTTCCGGATTTGTCTCATGCACTGGCGGTACCACCAATCGGGAACTAGGTGAGGCCGATCGATGCTTGTTGCTCGTGTGTGACTGCTCATTATCATCAGGTACTGATTCCGCATGCTCGTCCTCTTCTTCCTCACTATCTTGTTCCATTACAGTACGATTGGAACCACGTATTAGAGCTAAGATATGCCAGATTTGTGCACGTAGTTCGCGACATGTATCTGGAGGTAGTGGCTCACATCGTACACGACGATCGATATCATCTGAGACGAAAAAAGCAAATACGTGGTTAATCGATGTGAAAGTACAGTTCAGGTAAGTGATCGAACTGCTTGTTAGATGGCGAGAGATCGATGAGCAGAACGATCAACTGAGTAATGGACTATTAGCAGCCAATCTAGTGGGTTATGAAAGGCGTAATTCCAAACAAACAGAGGCATAGAACTGCATTCGCGAGATCTTGTGTGGTCATTCGNGTGGTCATTCGATTGAACGTAAGTTGTCAGCCGCCACCTAACTTCCTTGCGATTGAAGTCATCAGTCAAAAATAAAGCACAAAGATGGATTGATTAGCGTTTTATTTTCGCTTTAATAACCAATTTGTTACAAAAAGCTAGAACCAAGAATTTCTCCGCAAATTGCTGATACGGCCTCCTGAACATACATCATATCAGACAACCGTTGCTAGTTTCTATAGAAAAACTGTGGACAGCAATTGTCGGTTGGAGGATTTACCTCTATACAGGTTAATGTGTTCTGCAAGGTTATGGAAGTCCTGGTAATCGGGAGCGGTTTACACGATGAGAAGGAACTGGATAGGCAAGAGAGTTTTCCAAATGAGTACACGGTGCGCAGAATAATTCGCGGTAGCCGATGAAGGTTGTCTGGTCACTAGGCTTACCTGTGAATGCAAAATCTCTGGTTCCATTCATCTGAACACCGTCGAATACGCGGAGGCATGATCCTCTTATATGAAATACTACTTCAACTTAACCACCCCTGTA